TTTCCTATTTTTCACTCTTACATTATGCAGTGAACATCCTTGAACATAATTCTTGCACACTGGTCTGAGTATTTGTGCTGTAGCAGCTGGATCTCCTGCAGTTTGCAGCACTGGATCATGAAGTTGGCATATCAAAATGTTTAACAGGCCGGGTGTGGTGGTTCACGCCTGTAATCCAAGCACTTTGGGAAGCTGAGGCGGGTGGATCACTTGAGGTCAGCAGTTCGAGACCAGCCTGGCCAATATGGTGAAAACTCATCTCCACTAAAAAGGCAAAAATTTAGATGGGGATGGTAGTGCATGACTATAATCTCGGCTACCCCGGGAGGCTGACCCATGAGAATCACTTGAACTTGTGTGGCGGAGGTTGCAGCAGGCCCAGATCGACCCACTGCACTCCAGCCTGGGGAACACAGTGAGACTGTCTCAAAAAAAAAAAAAAGTTTAACAGACACTGATCAACAGCCTCTGGAAACAGTTACAGCACCAACCACATTGCATAACTGCCTTGCAAACAGCAGTTTTGATTTGAGAAACAAATGAAATCTAAAAATATGCCATCCACACATTTGGAATACAAGTTTTAGGGGTTCAAAGGCCCCCTACCCTGAAGCCCACACAGGACTCCTGGTAAGACCCCCTTTACAGGAAGACCCTAACAGGTCAATGAAAAGCTGTGATTGCATCTTTTTTCCGAAACGTCATCAGAACTCCTCAGGCAGGAGCTAGTGCAGTGTGGGCTGCCTGTGACTCACTTGAGGAGCTCAGCCCAGGAGGACAGAGTCAGGAAACTGCCACGCACAGCTCTGCAGTTAGGTGAACCTGACGATTTTCTTGTGTGTCCTGCAGGTGATTGCAAATAACTAACCAAAAGAGGTCCCCAGGACTGTTTCATACTTGGAAAGGTCACAGAAGGAAATTAATATTATAATAAAGTGACAACTATGCAAATCACATCTTGATGAGAGATTTATTAGCAATCCATCCGAACATCCAAGGCCCTAAGAACCATGAGTAGGCTGGGCACAGTGGCTCAACCCTGTAATCCCAGCACTTAGCACTTTGGGAGGCCAAGGCAGGCAGATCGCTCCAGTCCAGGAATTCAAGACCAGCTTGAGTAACATGGCATAACCCTGTCTCTACTAAAAATACAAAAAGTAAATGGGCGAGGTGGTACGCACCTGTAGTCCCAGCTACTCAGGAGGCTGAGGTGGGAGGATTCGCTTGAGCCCAGGAGGTAGAGATTGCAGTGAGCCACGATCGCGTCATCGCACTCTACCCTGGGCGACAGTGTGACCCTGTCTCAAAAAAAAAAGGAAAAGAATTTTGCATCTGCATCTCCCTGCCCGACTGAGACCTCAAGGGCCCAGCCCACTTTAGAACCTGACACATGACATTATTGTCAAACAACATATGAATGGAGCACTAAGCTCCAGGGAGGGAAGTGGGCTGTAGCGGCTTCCTGCACTCTGCCTCCTCTGCCTCGTTTTCCTCCCCTCCCAGCACAGAAGGCTGGATTTCGGTGCAGGCGCTGCCCCACCGGATCCCGGAGGTTCTGGGTGGAAACCTCATGGCCAGGACCAAGGCTGGAGCCAGTGCTCCAGGCCTGGCCAATCAACACATTGCATCCCCTTCCCCACCACAGCGATTGGCTCAGGGATGGGCATATGACCTGAGGCAGGTCCAATCAGAGATGTTGCACGACTTGTTCCTCTTCCTGTTTGTAGCTAGGCACCCCAGGCCAGAAAGCCTGTGGGATTGACTCAAGGTCACACAGCAAATTCACAGCAGGTGTTTGTTCAGTGTTCTCATACAGGACAAACTTTATTTTTATATTAAAACAAACAAAGATACAGAACAGAATGCCAAATTCACATGACCCTTTAAGATAAGATATGGGACTTAAGAAATAGTTGCTTGCTGTAGTGACTGATGCAGACCATAAATGAGTCCAAACTGTTACAGGGAGTATGGGATGGAGTTGGGACTGGAACCCACGTCTTCTGACATCCAGTCCCACGGGATTCTGCCCCCGCACCCCCACCCAATCTTCCTCACCTTTGCACGATCCTAGGGAGATTACAGAATTCTTTCCCACCCATTTTCTTACCCATGCAACTATCCTGCAATCCAGGCCTGGATGGTTATCTAGAAAACTAAGGCCCAGAAGATAAGTGGCTTGTCCAGACCACCACACTCAAAATTGGTGGATCAAAGACTTGAACTCAGCTGGGCACAGTGGCTCACGCCTGTAATCTCAGCACTTTGGGAGGCTGAGGCTGGTGAACACGAGGTCAGGAGTTCAAGACCAGCCTGGCCAATATGGTGAAACCCCGTCTCTAATAAAATACACAGATAAGCTGGGCGTGGTGGCCGGCGCCTGTAGTCCCAGCTACTAGGGAGGCTGAGGCAGAAGAATCGCTTGAACCTGGGAGTCACAGGTTGCAGGTGAGCCGAGATCACACCACTACACTCCAGCCTACATGACAGAGCAAGACTCCATCTCAAGAAAAAAAAAAAAAAAAAAAAAAAAAACACTTGAACTCAAGTCTCTCTCTTTTTTTTTTTTTTTTTTGAGACGGAGTTTCGCTCTATCGCCCAGGCTGGAGCGCAGTGGTGCGATCTCGGCTCACTACAAGCTCCGCCTCCTGGGTTCATGCAGTTCTCCTGCCTCAGTTTCTCAAGTAGCTAGGACTACAGGTGCCCGCCACCATGCCCAGCTAATTTTTTTTGTATTTTTAGTAGAGATGAGGTTTCACCGTGTTAGCCAGGATGGTCTCGATCTGCTGACCTCGTGATCTGCCCGCCTCGGCCTCCCAAGGTGCTGGGATTACAGGCTTGAGCCACCACGCCCGGCCTTGAACTCAAGTCTTAAGAGTTGCAATCTGCCCAGGCACGATGACTCAGGCCTGTAATCCCAACACTTTGGGAGGCCGAGGCAGGCGGATCACCTGAGATCAGGAGTTCAAAACAAGCCTGGTCAACATGGCAAAACCCCATCTCTATTAAAAATACAAAAATTAGCCGGGCATGGTGGCATGCAGCTGTCATCCCAGCTAATCGGGAGGCTGATGCATGAGAATCGCTTGAACCTGGGAGTTGGAGGTTGCAGTGAGCACAGATCATGCCACTGGTTGACAGACAGAGACTCCATCTCACAAAAAAAAAAAAAAAAAAAAAAAAAAGAGTTCACTTTCCCTTCTGCTTTTTTGACTGGGGCAAAACGTAGAGTTTGTGGTCACAGAACGGAGCTTTCTCATCAGCAGTGGGCCTGCGTGGCTTTGTGCTCTCCCAAAAGGTGAGGAGAGTGAAGGTCTAAGGAAGAACAAGAGAGTCCACCAGGAAACCTTACTCACTCCACGCCTCCCCCAACACAAGTTGAACTCCTAGGAGGTGAGGCAGGATGCTCACCTCCAACCACCACACCCACCTTATGTGTGTATTTTATTAGAGCCGGGGTTTCACCATATTGGCCAGGCTGGTCTTGAACTCCTGACCTCGTGTTCGCCCGCCTCGGCCTCCCAAAGTGCTGGGCTTTGGAATCAGACCAACCTAGTTCCAGTTCCCATTCTGCCGCTTAGAAGCTATAGGATCTTGGGCAACTCACTTTACCTCTCTGAAGCTCAGCTTCCTCCTGTGAAATAAGAGAGCCTCTTGCAGGGATTTTTGTGGCTTAGATTCAATAAGGAATGTGAGTGCATCTGACATCTGTGTGGTGCTGGGTGAGTGTCACCCTGCCTTTGCTTGTTTGTTCCCTTTTGGAGAAACTTCTGGCTTGACCCCATTTGGAAGATGATGTTATTGGAGAAGTGCACTCTGCTGTTCTCTTGGAAGAGGACAATAAAATGCATCTGCCACCCAGGCTGTGGTGGATCGATTGCAGCTTACTGCAGCCATTGCCACGCAGGCTCAAGTGACCCTCTGCCTCAGCTTAGCCTCCAGAGTAGCTGGAGCCACATATGTGTGCCACCGCGCCTGGCTAACTTTCTAAAAAAAAATTTTGTAATGACAGGTGGTCTCACTATGTTGTCCAGGCTGGTCTGTTTTGTTTTGTTTTGTTTTGTTTTTTTCTCGAGATGGAGTTTTGCTCTGTTGCCCAGACTAGAGTGCAGTGGTGTGATCTCAGCTCACTGCAACCTCCACCTCCAAGGTTCAAGAGATTCTCCTGCCTCAGCCTCCTGAATAGCTGGGAATACAGGCATGCAGGACCACACCGGACTAATTTTTGTATTTTTAGTAGAGACGGGGTTTCACCATGTTGGCCAGGCTGGTCTTGAACTCCTGGCTTCAGGTGGTCTGCCCGCATCAGCGTCCCAAAGTTCTGGGATTATAGGAGTGAACCACTGTGCCTGGCCATCAAGTGCATTTTGATCCACCAGATGAAGCCCTCCTCTGCCAGCGTTCTGCTTCCCCCCATCATTAGGGCAGCCAGATCCTAATTGTGCATGTCAGGCTTGCCTTCTGCTACGTGTGCACCTTCCCCACATTACACAAATCCTTACCGTAATGTTGTGAAACACACTGGGCACAGGTTTCTCTCCCTGTTTCACAGATGGGTCTAGAGGCTTACATGACCCAGCCAAGGTCACACTGCAAGCCCTGACATGGCCTAGAACAGGCTTTCTCAGCCTCAGCACCATTGACATACAGGGCAGGGCATGTCATGTTGCCCAGTGCATTGTCAGATGTTTAGCAGCATCTCTGCTCTCTGCCCGATGGATGCCAATCACATCAACCCCAGCCATGACACCCAACAATGTCCCCAGATGTTGTCAAACGTCTCCTGGTGGCTGAACCAGCCCCACTGAGAAATACTGCCTTAGAACGCTGTGGGTTCAGCATGCCACCTTCATCTTTACATTGAAAACACAACTCCTGGCCAGGCGCCGTGGCTCAGCCTGGAATCCCAGCACTTTGGGAGGCTGAGGCGAGCAGATCACTTGAGGCCAGGAGTAGGAGACCAGCCTGGCCAACATGATGAGACCCATGTCTCTACCAAAAATACAAAAATTAGCCAGGAATGGTGGCACACACCTGCAATCCCAGCTGCTAGGGAGACTGAGGCAGAGGAATTGCTTGAACCCAGGAGGCAGAGGTTGCAGTGAGCTGAGATCACACCACTGCGCTCCAGCCTGAGTGACAGAGCATGACTCCATCTCAGAAAGAAAAAAAAAAAAAAGGAAGAACACACAACTCCTCTCCTCAGTCTTACCCAGGGAGGAAAAAAAAAATAGAAAACACAACTCCAAAGACCAACAATTAGTATTTTTCTTCCTTCCCTAACACACAACATAATCTCTTCAAAACAGATGGAACCCATATTCCAATATCTACCTTTGGCATCTTTTTCAAAGTATTTCTAGGGTGACAGCTAGGAGCAAATGGGAAAAAAAAAATATTTGGACGCAAACTCTTTTTTCCACTGGGCTTTGAGAAAATCCCCATCTTGCGTGCTCCTAGTGTATCTCTCACTGATAAGTTCCTCATAAAACCAGGGCCTTCTCCAGGGCCACGCTGACAGAACTGCCACAGACACACCATGATTACGACCCTGCTGCTGTCCGCTCTGGTGGCTGGAGGTAAACCCTGTCACCCAGAGCCACTGGTTTCCCATCCCCTGGTGTGGCTGGGAATGGGATCTTCCTGTCCTCCCCTCTCGCCCCCACCCAACCCCTACTGCATTCAGACGTATAATCATTAGAAAACTGGAATGGAGTTTCAAAGAACTGGAGCAAACAGCAGGATTCTATGACCTCTTGAGATCCTTCTAGAACAAGGGTTTTCTATTTGGGGGTTCAGAATGCAGCAAGTGTAGTTTACATTGTGTGGGTCACTGCTTCCTGGACTCAAGACCCTTTCTCTTTTCATAGCCCTCAGTTGTGGGGTCCCCACTTACCCGCCTTCTGTGACTAGGGTGGTTGGAGGTGAAGAAGCGACGCCCAACAGCTGGCCCTGGCAGGTGAGTCGACCACACTGTACTTCCCCCTGTCCCTGCCCCATTCCCTTTACATCCCCCCTTTGCCCTTCCACCATGGGGTCTACTGTGCTGGCAAAGTGAGGACTGATGAGACTCAGAGAGCAGCACAGGCAACTTCACCAATGAGATACATTTCCGGCTGGGCGCAGTGGCTCGTGCCTGTTATCCCAGCACTCTGGGAGGCCATGGTGGGCAGATCACCTGCGGTCAGGAGTTTGAGACCAGCCTGGGCAACATGGTGAAACCCGCCTCTACTAGTAATACACAGTTAGCCAGGCGTGGCGGCACACACTTGTAATCCCAGCAACTCGGGAGGCTGAGGCAGGAGAATCGTTGAACCCAGGAGGCAGAGGTGGCAGTGAGCTGATATTGCACCATTGTACTGCAGCCTGGGCAACATGGCAAGACTCTGTCTCAAAAAATAAAAAAAATTTAAAAAGGTACATTTCTATGGCCTTGGCCAACCTTGGGAGAGGAGGGAGAGGTGCCTCCTCCAGCTGCAGTAAGGAGCTGTCCCCTCCCCACTACCCATAGGCAGCAAATATAGTCTTACTCTATTAACCAATCAGAGGCTTGTTTACAAATGTACCATTAGTCTAGGAACCATTCAAGACTACCTATGCAAATATTCCTTGCTTTAAGGAACCAATCAGTGCTATTTATGCAGATTAAACTTTACCGCAAATGAATGTTACCAATGAAAAAAATGTTTTCTTAAGTTCATATAATCATAGTGATATCAAGACTAAACTGCCGAGTGGGGCACAGGCACAAATTACTAAGACGTGTTAACGGTGGGAATTTTAACAGAACTGTGTAAAGGTTACATTGACACAAACAAATATAGTAAAATCTCATTTATCTGATGTAACTGGGACTGAGCAATTGAAAAGTTGGTTATAAAGAAATTATTTTAAATCGTACATATATGTTGTAAACATTTTATCTTACACTATGTAAACAATTTTTTGAGTTCTTAACTGTCTTTTTCATATAAACCACACCACATAATATCTCATCTACAAGTTCATTTCTTTAAAGCAGAGCAGTACCTTGGAGACATTCACAAAGCAATCTGAGTTATGAGCCCATCCCGACTTTTACGACTTTTCCCCCCAATCTTTCCATTTTCTCACAGACACTAATTCAGGAGCAATTTTTTAAGAATCATGGTGATTCAGTCTCTTCCAAGCATTTAACTTTGTTTCCATATAAATAACGACTCTCTTTCTGAACTCGTATTTTATTGGTTACATGTTTAATCAAATTTCACTATTGCAAGCATAATTGATGTAAACTACTTTAGGAGCAAACCCAGCTGAATCAGGATGAGTTTCCAAATTAAGTAGGAGGAGGAATTAGCAGCCCACTAGCCTTGAGCATTCAGAGTGACCCATGCAGCAGTCACTGTGTTTACAGAGGCCAGCGTCATTCATCTGGTCCTTGATTAAGAGACTGTCAATGATAGGCCAGGCACAGTGGCTCATGCCTGTAATCCCAGCACTTTGGCAGGTTGAAGTAGGTGGATCACCTGAGGTCAGGAGTTTGAGACCAGCCTGGCCAACATGCTAAATCTCTGACTCTACTAAAAATACAAAAATTGGCCAGGCATGGTGGCGGGCACCTATAGTCCCAGCTATCTGGGAGGCTGAAACACAAGAATCACTTGAACCCTGGAGGCGGAGGTGGCGGTGAGCCAAGATCATACCTCTGCACTCCAGCCTGGGTGAGAGTGAGACTCCGTCAAAAAAAAAAAAAAAACTGTCAATGATAGAATGATGGCAGATATTTCACATTTTTTTTCTTTTTTTCAGACAGACTCTTGCTCTGTCACCCAGGCTGGAGTGCAGTGGCATGATCGTAGCTCACTGCAGCCTCCAACTCCTGGGCTCCAGCCATCCACTGCCTCAGCCTCCCACAGTGCTGGGATTACAGGCACCCACCACTGTGCTCAGCCACAGTAAAGTTTTTCTGAGACAGTGTCACATTCTGTCACCCTGGCTGGAGTACAGTGGGTGGCGAAACATGGCTCACTGCGGCCTCAAACTCCTAGCCTCCCACCTCAGCCTCCCTACCAACTGAGACCACAGATGCATGCCACCACACCCGGTTAATTTTTTTTTTAGAGATGGGCGTCTCACTGTGTTGCCCAGGCTGGTCTTGAACTCCTGGACTCAAGTGATCCTCCTGCCTCAGCCTCCCAAAGTGCTGGGATTACAGGCATGAGCCACTCAACCCAGACTCACAATTTATATACTTGGCTTTGTGTACTTTTGCCAGTTCTTTTGCTTTTCTCACAGTCCCATGGTATTTTTTGCCTGAGAATTTGGAAGAAGGGCCACAGTCCCTCTGCTACAGGACCCCACAGCACCGGGCGCATTTGTGCTGAGAACTAATCATTGCTGCCTACAAAAATACTTCCTCACCCTCTTGCACAAAGGTATTCTTGCCTTGAGAACCAGTGAATGTTAGTCTGTGAAGAGTCCCTTGTGCTTTGTGCTTCTGTTTCCCTGGGGAAATTGTTTTACTGAGATCATAGGCAGATCTAGCTGGGTGTGAACCCAGATGAGGCGAGTAAGACATTCACTCCGGGGCAAAATGTAAGGGGTAACACAAAACTTAGCAGCCAGCCAGGCGCAGTGGCACACACTTTTAATCCCAGCTATTCAAGAGGCTGAGGCAGAAGGATTGCTGGAGCCCAAGAGTTTGAGACCAGTATGGGCAATATAGCTAGCTGTCACAAAAAAAAAAAAGAAAAAAAAATCCTCACTAACCAAAATGAATCATAATTTAATGCAATTTTATTTTTTCTCCTGGAGACAGAGCCTCATTCTGTCACCCAGGCTGGAATGCAGTGGCACAATCTCAGCTAACTGCAACCTCTACTTCCTGGGTTCAATTAATTCTCCTGCCTCAGCCTCCCAAATACCTAAGATTACAGGTGCATGCCACCACGCCCGGCTAATTTTTTGTATTTTTAGTAGAGACAGGGTTTCATCATATTGGACAGGCTGATCTCAATCTCCTGACCCACCTGCCTCAGCCTCCCAAAGTGCTGGGATTACAGGTGTGAGTCATCCCACCCACCAGCTATTGTCATTACAGTATTAATCACCCTGAGAGCCCTGCACAGTGGCTTTTGCTCCACATTTCCAGAGAAGGTAACTGGGACTTGGAAAGGTTACAGAATTGCCCAAAGGCACTGAGTTAGCCTGGGGGGAATGAGGATTCAAATTTGGTTCAGTGCTTGTTCTTTTAGCTACACTTTGCTGGCCACAAACAATACCTACCACATGGACTATATTTCAAATCTGTCGGATGGTTTTAGCACATTTTTAAATTGGGGGGGTACATCCTTTTAAGTATCTTTTTTCACTTTCTCTAATTTTAAACATCTTTTTTAAAGCCAGTTCATCTGAGACCTCTTAATGTCACACAAACGAGAAATGTCAAATGGCTAATTAAAAACAAGAACGTTCAGAGAAAAGCAGGCATCTGGCATCTGCCAACAAACAGATCATCGTTCCCCACAGTTACAGGAAGCCCGATCAGTGCAGTCCATGCCCTACTGTCACCTCCCTCCCCTCTGCTTGGCCGTGGCAGGGAATTGAAAGACAGGGGAGGAGGAATGAAGGAACAGGAAGGGCATGGAACGCTTCATTAGAGACTAAAACAGTGTCAGATGTCACCACCTTTTTTCTTTTTTTTTTTTTTTTTAAAGACAGGGTCTCACTCTGTCACCCAGGCTGGAGTACAGTGGCGCCATCCCGGCTCACTGCAATCTCCGCCTCCTGAGTTCAAGCGATTCTCCTACCTCAGCCTCCCAAGTAGCTGGGATTACAGGCACACACCACGACACCCGGCTAATTTTTGTATATTTAGTACAGATGGGGTGTCACATGTTGGCCAGGTTGGTGTCAAACGCCTAGCCTCAAGTGACCCACCCGCCTCGGCCTCCCAAAGTGCTGGGATTACAGGCGTGAACCACGGTGCCCAGCCTCCACCACTTAAAAGTTGTACCCCACACCTGTTAAACTGTCAATCTAAATGGAAACCTTTTTTTTTTTTTTTTTTTTTTTGAGACAGACCCTCACTCTGTCGCCCAGGCTGGAGTACGATGGTGCCATCTTGGCTCACTGCAACCTCTGCCTCCCGGGTTCAAGTGATTCTCCTACCTCAGCCCCCTGAGTAGCTGGGATTACAAGCGCGACCCACTGTGCCCTGCCTAGAAACCATTTTTAACCTGAAAAAATTTATTTAAAAAAACATGAGGAGCCGGGGGGCAGGGGAGTAAGGTCCACTTATGCAGTCTCATGTTCCCATGAGTGGATTTGGTCTTCAGGGGGAAACTAGACAAGCAGGAGACAAGATCACCCGCACCTGGTGATCTCTTCCATTCTATTCATTTGCTTATTCACTCACTTGTTCAATCAGTAAGCATTTGTTAAAGACCCAGTATGTACCAGGCACTGTTCTAGGCGCCTGGCACATAGCAGTGGGGGGAAAAATTCATGAAGACTTTATTAAAGTGGAGACGTGGCCAAGCACAGTGGCTCAAACACCTGTAATCCCAGTACTTTTGGAGGCCGAGGTGGGCAGATCACTTGAGGTCAGTAGTTTGAGATCAGCCTAGCTAACATGGTGAAACCCCGTTTCTACTAAAAATGCAAGTAAATTAGCCAGGTGTGGTGGAAGGCACCTGTAATCACAGCTACTCTGGTGGCTTAAACAGGAGAATCACTTGAACCCAGGAGACAGAGGTTGCAGTGAGCCAAGATGGTGCCCCTGCACTCCAAACTGAGCAACCAAGCAAGACTCCATCTCAAAAAAATAAAAATAAAATAAAGTAGAGGAGTGAGACAATAAACAACTGAATGAGTAAACTCATCACATGCCAGAAAATGCAAGATGCTATGAGGAAGAGTAACGCAGAGCAAGAGGAAGGAGGCAAGTGTGTCTGTGTGTGTATGTACATGAGCGTGCATGTACGTGTGTGTGCACACTGTTGGGGACAGCATGGTCATAGAAGACCTCATGGAGAAGGTTACCTTGAGCAGAGACCAACAGGAAGTGAAGGAAAGAGTTACATCGATATTTGCAAGAATATTCCAGGCAAGAAGAAGAGCCAGTGCAAAGGCCCTGAGGCAGAAGTGGGTTTGGTGTATTTGCAGAACTGCATGGAAGTCAGTGTGGCTGGAGGAGAGGAGAGTGGGAGCCTATGGGGTCAGAGAGGCCACAGAGGGCCTAGTAAGTCATCACACACTCTTAGGTTTTATAAACTGTAAAGGGGGAGCCACTGGAGGGCCTGAGCAGAGAAGAGAAGTCATCTGACTTCCATTCAAAAAGGGTCATTCACGCTACTGTGTTGAGAAAATGTGGGCGGGAGCGGGGAGAAGAGATGGGAGACTAGAGTGATCATTGAGAAGAGAGGATGACTGGGACACGTAGTTGAGGTAGTGACCAAGGGGTAGCAACCCCTCCACATATTCCCAAGATAGAGCTGATGGGATTTGCTGATGGACTGGAATGAGGGATAACAGGGAAAGACATGAGCCAAGGATGACACCAAGGATTGCGGCCTGAGCAGCAGTGGAGTTGCCATTGACTGTGACAGAGGACCCTGGGGAAAGACCGCATTTGGGATAAGTCAGGAGTTTTGTTTTGGACATACTAAACCGTAGGGGGCTAAGGAAAGAGCTCCCAAGGAGGGGAAGATCCCAACCAATCCAGTTGCAGAAACATGTTCAGAACAGGGTTTTTTGGGGGTTTTTTGTTTTTGTTTTGACATGAAGTCTCACTCTTGTCACCCAGGCTGGAGTGCAATAGCACGATCTCGGCTCACTGCAACATCTGCCTCCCGGGTTCAAGTAATTCTCCTGCCTCAGCCTCCTGAGTAGCTGGGATTGCAGACACACGCCATCACACCTGGATAATATATGTATTTTTAGTAAAGACGGGATTTCACCATGTTGGCCAGGCTGGTCTCAAACTCCTGACCTCAGGTGAATTCACCAACCTCTGCCTCCCAAAGTGTTAGAATCACAGGCATAAGGCAGCACTCCAGGCAGAACAGTTATTTTTTAATAGTCTGTATGTTTTTTATTTTTCTATCCCAGATTTTTTGCGTTAATTTTGTTGTTGCTTTTTGTTGCGGGTGGCAGAGCAGATACATGCCCTTGCTATGTCACCCAGGCTGAGCACAGAGCAATCACAGCTCACTGCAACCTAGACTTTCTGAGATCAAGCAATCCTCTCACCTCCTGAGTAACTGAGACTACAGGTGTGCACCACCACTCACAGTTAATTTTTATTTTATTTTAAAATTTTTGGGTAGAGTCAAGTTCTCACTATGGTGCCCAGGCTGATTCACAAACTCCTGGGCTCAAGCAATACTCCCACCTCAGCCTTCTGAGTAGCTGGGACTACAGGCATGCACCACGGCACCCAGCGGCTAATTTTCGGCTTTTTTGTTGATACAATGTATTAGTCCTTCCTCACACTGCTAAGAAAGACATACCTGAGACTGGGTAATTTATAAAGGAAAGAGGTTTAATTGACTCACAGCTCAGCATGGCCGGGGAGGCCTCAGGAAACTTACAATCACGGCAGAAGGGGAAGGAAACACATCCTTGTTCGCACAGCGGCAGCAGGGAGAAATGCCGAGCAAAAGTGGGGGAAAGCCCCGTATAAAACCATCAGATCCTGTGAGAACTCACTATCATGAAAACAGCATGGGGGTAACCACACTCACGATTCAATTACCTCCCACCAGGTCCCTCCCACGACACATGGGGATTATGCTACAATTCAAGATGAGATTTGGGTAGGGACACAGTCAAACCTTATCAGATGGGGTTTCACCATGTTGCCCAGGCTGGCCTCAAACTCCTGGGCTCAAGTGATCCTCCTTCTTTCGCCTCCCAAAGTGTTGGGATTACAGGCATGAGCCACCATGCCTGGCCTGATTCATTTTAATATAGATTGCATTAACATGTTTTTCATCGTGATGTCTGAGGTTTTGGGTGCCCCCTTAAGTTGTGCACCTGAGGTGAGTGCCTCACTCCCCCTTACCCTAGTCTCAGCCCTGTTCTTGGGAAACTGGAGTGCAGGGAGGCCCTGCTTTTTCAGCCACAGCCACAGAGCTCCTATGTTTCTCCCCAGGCCTCCCTGCAATACACCTCCGATGGCAATTGGTACCACACCTGCGGAGGGACCCTGATCAACAACAGCTGGGTCCTGACGGCTGCCCACTGCATCAGGTAACTGCCATTCCCTGGGCGCTTGGCCTGCTCACCAGCCAGTGCTCATTTCTGAGCTGGGGGCTCAAATGGCCTGAACCACGCTACATAAAGGAATCTTGCAAATAACCACTAGCCTGGCTGAGACACAAGCTGTAGTCAATCAATGGTTCAGTGTGTTGGCCCATCAATGTCAGTACATGGCACAAATGGGGTGTCCTGTGCCAGGTACTGAGGGAGGATAAGGAGAAGGGGAAGGCCTAATCTCTGCCCTCTTGGGGAAACTATATGTGGCCTCTGGATCTGGAATTGGGTTCCCCTGAACAACTTGACTTCTCAAAGCTTCAATACCATCACCTGCAGAAAACAATGGAGTAACAGAATTTAGTGTGAATTCAATGAGTTGATTTACTAAAGGGCCTGACACTTAGTAAGTGCCCAGTGAAAGCTCATTCTGAATTGTAGACTAATTATAAAGGCCCATGAGGTTCTGCAACGTTGTTCACTTATCCTCTTCATTGTCCGTGACCTCTGCTCATCACAGCTGGAACTCACCAGAGCTTTTGCTGGGTCGTTGTGACTCCTTCTAGGAGTGATCCCTTCTCCCATCTAATTTATAATAAGCTCTAGGAGGTGATGGGGAAACTAATAGAGACTTACAGTCAGGAGTCCTGGCTTCTGGTTCTGGTTTCTTACTAACGGTGGGACTCTGGGCCAGGTTACACCTCTCTGGGCCTCGGTTTCCCCATCTGAAAATGAAAGTTGTCTTTGAGAGCAAATGACTCCTGTTTTCTCTGTGTTCATCTCATTCCCTCCATAATCCTACAGAGTCTGTGTTATTACAACATTTATTTTATAGTATAGTTTAAAGTTAGTATAGTAACAATTATTATATGATCATAGTTCTTATGTTATATACTTTAGGCTCTATTATAACTAACTGATTGTCCCAGGGGAGGAAAGATTCCCCAAGCCCAAGCCCCACCTAGTGGCTCATGCAGCAGCCAGTTACTTGGGTCTATCCCAACATTATCCAAAGCCAGGCCTCTGGAGGTGACCCTCTCCCTGGGCCCCCTTTCTCCCAGCGACTCCAGGACCTACCGCGTGGGGCTGGGACGGCACAACCTCTACATTGCGGAGTCTGGCTCGCTGGCCGTCAGTGTCTCTAAGACTGTGGTGCACCCGGACTGGGACTCCAGCGATGCCTCCAAAGGGTTCGTTTCTGTCTGGGTGCACTTGGGGGTGAGGTTGTCAGGGAACACATGGGGGTCTCACAGAGGCAAGGGTCTCAACTCCACCACATGCCCTCTGCTTCTTCTATAGGGAGGGAGAAGGAGCTCTGGCCTCTTAGATGTGGAACCAGCTCCAAAGATATCTGGGGTGGGGATGTGACCTGGGGAGGGAGAAGCAAAGACTGCCAGAGTGACCTGAGTTTGCTGCCAGTCAAGCCTACAGGGCCCCTGTCCGCTGAGCGTGTATCTACTTCATGCCAAGTCCTGTGGACACAGGGACAGTGCTGTCGATCCTGTGACTGTCCCTGGAGTAGGACACAATCTCTCCTACCTTGCTCCTTTCAACAAGGCCCTCTGCATTTTCAAACATGCCCTGGGGCCCTGCCACTCAGAGCAAGCTGGGGCAACGTACAGGGAACGATGACAAGGTCTCAGAGCCCTCCAAAGCCCCACAGGGCAGGAAAAGTCAACCCTGTCCTCACGCTCTGCCTCTGCACTGACCCAGGTACGACATTGCGCTGGTCAAACTGGCTAACCCCGTCTCCCTCACCGACAAGATCCAGCTGGCCTGCCTCCCTCCTGCCGGCACCATTCTACCCAACAAGTACCCCTGCTACGTCACGGGCTGGGGATATCTGCATAGTAAGTGGGAGCCAGGAGCCCCCAGGCCTGGGAGGGAAGGGAGGTGATGTCACCCCTGCCTGGCCAGAGCCTCTCACCTGTCATCCCAGGGTGTGTGGCTGCCTGGGAGAGACGGGATGGCATAGGCTGATGCCTGCCTGGGTTCAAATGTCAGCTCTCTCACTTCATGACTGTGACACCTTGGGCACATTACTAGGTCTCTCCATGCAGCACTTTTATCATATGTAAAATGCAAATAATTGGCTGGGCGCCGTGGCTCACGCCTGTAATCCCAGCACTTTGGGAGGCCTGGCAGGTGGATCACTTGAGGTCAGGAGACCAGCCTGACTGACATGGTGAAACCCCCTCTCTACTAAAAATATTTTTAAAATAGCAGGGCGGCGCCGCGCGGTGGCTCACCTGTAATCCCAGCACTTTGGGAGGCCGAGACGGGCGAATCACGACGTCAGGACATCGAGACCATCCTGGCTAACACTGTGAAACCCCGTCTCTACCAAAAATACAAAAAATTAGCCAGGCGTGGTGGCGGGCTCCTGTACTCCCAGTTACTTGGGAGTCTGAGGCAGGAGAATAGCATAAACCTTGGAGGCGGAGCTTGCAGTGAGTGGAGATCACACCACTGCACTCCAACCAGGGCGACAGAGCGAGACTCCGTCTCAAAAAAAAAAAAAAATAGAAGGGTGTGGTGGTGTGCTCCTGCAGTCCCAGCTACTCAGGAAGCTGAGGCAAGAGAATCGCTTGAACCTGGGAGGTGGAGGTTGCAGTGAGCCAAGATTTCGCTACTGCACTCCAGCCTGGGGGACAGAGTGAGACTGTGTCTCAAAAAAAAAAAAAAAAAAAAGGGCATAATAATAGCAGCTACATCACAGAGTTCTCAAGAGGATTAAAGGAGATTATAGGAAGCCTGGCATGTGGTAGGTGCTCTGTGTTAGTTGTTGTCACTGTCCCCATGATGGAAAGAAAGTTACAGAGACCATGTGACATCTTCTGTGTGGCCCACAGAGTTCAGAACAGTATTTTCCTCTGTGACCTGAGGCCCCTGGAGTCCTCATTGGACCCTCCGTGCCCCATGGCAAAAGCTGTCCCCTGTGCCATTCGGTCTTGCTGCTCAGAACCTGGCTGAGGGCGGGTCTCCTTTGACATAGACTCCAGGGGTTAGAGATCCAATGACTGTAGCCACCAAGAGGAACAGAGTTCCCGCCCTTCCCTTGTGAAATCACCAGAGGTTTGGAAGATTCTAGGAAGGGATGAGTGATAATGACCTTATGACCATAATGACATGATGAGTGATAATGACATTATGACATTTCTCCCTAATGACATAAACCCATAAGTATAATGACATGTTTTTCCAGGGCACATCCACATATGTACCCTCCAATAAATCCCCATTGCCCTCTCGACTGGCTTATCTGTAAACACAAGGACACATGAAATCCTGCGGTGAGCGGTGGTGGAAGAGGCATTTCATGCTTGTTAAGATAGAAGCACAACCGCCTGTGTGTTTCCCCAGACAACCCTGGGGCAGATGCAGTTCATCTGAGACAGTGGAAGCGGGGAGGCATCCAAATGCTTGGCTTTTAGGCCCAGCTCTGTCGGTCATGGTGAAACCTTGGGCAAGTCACTTGCGAACCTCAGTTTCCTTATCTGTAAAATGGAAACACTGTTGGTGAAGACCAAAGAGGCGAAAGGTGAAAATGCATCCTACATTGCAAAATGTTATACAAGTGTTAATTACTTATTAGTGGTCTTAAGCCAGACCATTAACTTCCTTTTTTTTTTTTTTTTTTTTTTTGAGACAGAGTCTTGCTCTGTTGACCTGGCTGGAGTGCAGTGGTGCAATCTCAGCTCACTGCAACCTCTGCCTCCCAAGCTCAAGCGATTCTCCTGCCTCAGCCTTCCAAGTAGCTGGAATTATAGGTGTGTGTCACCACGCCCGGCTAATTTTTGTATTTTAGTGGATACAGGATTTCACCATGTTGGCCAGGCTGGTCTCAAACTCTGGACCTCAAGGGATCCACCCACCTTGACCTCCCTAAGTACTGGGATTAGAGGGTGAGCCACTGTGCCTGGCCGACCCTTAACTTCCCTAGGCTCAATTCATAGTGAAGAATTATGTTAAGCTCATCCTTGCCACTCATAGTAACAGTAATGCAGGTGATGGTGGCTGTGTCATTGGGGGCCATTATGACAGCCCTCCCTTCACCACACCAGCATATTTTTCCCAAGGAGGGGGCTCTAACTGCCAGGAGGCTCACTTTCTTATTTCAGATAAGTGACAGCAAACCAGGGAGCTAGCTCAGCAAAAAAAGGGATTGTTCTGAGGATTTAAAAGTTTCAACCTAAGGGCTGAGATATAGCCAGGCATCAGGAACAGGCTGGAATCAGGGGCTGGAAGCCTGTAAGAAACTCAGGAAACCCTCTCTTGGAATTTCTTTTCTTTGTGAGTCTAATTCATTCTCCACATGAAACAAAACGTCAGTCATTGCCAAAAGCTTCCCAGATTTACGTCCTCTGAAACCGGAATCTCTTAGACCCCATCTCAGGATCCCAGGGGAGGGAGCTCATTGGCTTAGCTTGAGTCAAGTGTTCACTGCTGAACCAATCAACCGTGAGGACATAGTGTAGACAAACATAGCTGTTCGCATATTGCAATGGATGGAAGACAGTAACAGGGGAACCAGTAGGGTCAACCACTTCCTTTTTCTCAGGAGTCCTTGCATCCCTAATGCTTTCTTTCTGATCTCATTCAGCCAGCGGGCCTGCTTCTGAAGTCCTGCAGCAGGGCCGGTTGCTGGTTGTGGACTATGCCACCTGCTCCAGGTTTTTCTGGTGGGGCAGCACCGTGAAAACCAGTATGATCTGTGCTGGGGGTGATGGCAGATCTCCAGCTGCTACGTGAGTACCAAAATCAGGGCCCCGCTCAATGACAAAATGTGACTGGAGATAAGGCTATAGAGGTCCATCCCTCCATAGGTCCATCCTCCACCTCGTGGCAGAAGTACTCCAGAAATATGTTCCAGATATATCAGAACCCGATCTCTGGCCAGGCACTGGTGGCTCTTGCCTGTACCCTGTCACTTTGGGAGGCCAAGGCAGGCAGACCACTTGAGGTCAGCAGTTCGAGACCAGCCTGGCCAACATGTGAAACTTTGTCTCTACTAAAAATACAAAAATTAGCCGGCGTGGTGGCGGCACCTGTAGTCACAGTTACTCAGGCGGCTGAGGCAGGAGAATGTTGAACCCGGAGAAGAGGTTGCAGTGAACTGGGTCACATCACTGCAATCCAGTCTGGGTGACAGAGTGAAACCAAACAAAAAAAAAAAAAAAAAAAAAAAACTTGATCTTGGTTCTTGTTTGTTCTTGTTTTGAGATTCTCCTTGTCGTGTCCACCCCTCTCACTGCTGGGAAGTCCTTCCCTGGGTCTCATCAAGGTCTCTCGTGATTGTCATTCCGTATCCTTTCCTCTATGCTGGAAGGGAACCAAAGGAAAGTATTCCCTGGCTTAGGGCCTTTCTAGGATGACTTCTGGGTTTTCTGTTGAATTACTCTCATCAACGGCCCAGCGTGTCCCCTCCAGGTAGCTGCCATGGAAGCCTTCCCGGAGACAGTGTCTTAACCACCAGGAATTGCTCTGTGTTGGACTTAGCAGTGAAGTGGGGATGGAATAGGAAGGAGATCCACACGCCCTTCAGATCACACTATGCCCTATACACTCTGCCCACACAGACCACCCCACCCGCGGGAATACGGAGCCAGTGGGGAAGAGCCTGAACTCTGGGATGTGGCCTCAGCTCCTTTACAAACTGCCTGTGCAACCTTGGGCAAGTCCCAACCTCGCAACACTCCAGTTTCTCCTCTTCAGTGGTCTGGGGAGACTGTGAATATTTACCTCCTAGGATTTTGTGGGGATTAATGAGATAAGGTATAGAACATGCTTAGCTCAGCTCTGGCCACACAGGAAGAATAAGTGTTGGCTCTTGTTGGAATTATGGTACCATCTTGGGCTATGACCACAAGGGCTGGCTTCAGAGGACAGTGACCTGCAGCAGAACAATAGAAATGCATTGAGAACAATGGTTCCAATGGGCAGCCCCTTCCTCTCCCTTTACCCTTCTATAACTCTGGCCTTCCTCAGGGAGACTCTGGCGGGCCGCTGAACTGCCAGGCGTCTGACGGCCGGTGGGAGGTGCATGGCATCGTCAGCTTTGGGTATAGATTGGCTCAACTACTACCACAAGCCGTCTGTCTTCACACGGGTCTCCAAATAATCGACTGGATCAATTCGGTAAGAACCAACCAGCCCAAACCCTACCCTGCCCACCTGCCTCGGAGTCCCATGCCACCTGGGACTGAAGCCCCTCCTTCTTGGCTAGATGGACCTGAGGGGCGCAGACCTGAATGCGGCCCCCGTAGGTCCCAAAGTTTCTGTGGTAAACTGAGTGAAAGAACATAGAGGTGCCTGTCCAAGAGGACACCCTCAGCTATTGATTGAGTTCCCACGCAGTGACTCAGCCTGTACCCAGCATTGGGAGCCAACGGCAATCGAGGCAGAAAAGACCACCTGACACACAAAAACGTCTCTATAAAAAAAATACAAAAAAATTAGCCAGGCATGTTAAGGCACTCCTGTAAACCTACCTACTCAGGAGGCTGAGGCAGGAGACTCCCTTGAACCTGGGAGATGGAGGTTGCAGTGAGCCGAGATTGCACCATTGCACTCCAACCTGGACAAGAAGAGTGAAACTCCAAGTAAAAAAAAAAAAAAAAAGAGTGAGTTCCATAGAAATGGTGATTTTATTTTTGTGTATCTGTGTGTGGCCCAGACTCCACCATCCAGTGCTGTAAACGGGTATATTTATCTGCAAAGCCGAAAACCTGATACTCTGAGACCCCCATAGCATTAATAATTGGAAATTAGTCCCCCTCAGTGGTCTTCCAGCTATTCTGTAGGGTGACCAGCCATCCCGGTTTGTGCAGGACTGAGAGGTTTTCCAGGATGCAGGACTTCCTGTTTTACTCTGGGACCATCCCAGGCAAATAAAGCCGAGTTGGTCCCCCTGTCTTATCAATGTAAACTCAGAGCTGTCTCCTTTCAGCTTCCACAATAACTCAATTTGTTTTTTACAATGAACACACATTTGTTTATAACAATAAGCATTAACATTATGTATTAAAAATGATAGGCCAGGTGCCATGGCTCATGCCTGTAATTGCAGCACTTTGGGAGGCCATGGAGGGAGGATTGCTTGAGCCCAGGAGTTCAAGACCAGCCTGGGCAACATAATGAGACTCTGTCTTTACAAAAAAAAATTTTTAAGTGACTCAGGCATGGTGTTGTGTGCCTGTAGTCTCAGCTACTTGGGAGGCTTGGGTGGAAGGGTCACTTGGGCCCAGGAGGCCAACGCTATATTGAGCCAAGGTCACACCAATGCACTTAAGCCTGGGCAACATAGCAAGACCCTGTCTCCGAAAATAATGATAATAATAACTGGCATCAGTATTAAGGAGCAGCCGTGGATACACGCAGCAGTAGGTGAAAGCAGCCAGAACAGGAAACCCCGTCACAAGAAAGGGGTGGCTGGTGGCTCACGCCTGTAATCCCAGCACTTTGGGAGGCCGAGATGGGGATCACCAGAGGTCAGGAGTTCGAGAGCAGCCTGGCCAACATGGGGAATCCCCGTCTCTACTAAAAATTCAAAATTAAGCTGGGTGTGGTGACATATGCTTGTAATCCCAGCTACTCAGGAGGTTGAGGCAGGGGAATCACCTGAACCTGGGAGGTGGAGGTTGTAGTAACCCGAGTTCACGCCACTGCACTCCAGCCTGGGCAACGGAGTGAGACTCCATCTCAAAAAAAGAAAAACCACAAAAAAAAGAAACGGGTGCCCCAGGAAGGGCAGAGGAGCCACCATGCCTGTTACTGAATGCTGGGAGGGAAGAGTGGACACTCTGTGCCGATGAAGACCACCTCAGTTTGCTCTTCTGTAAAATGGGACTTGAACTAGACCAGGACTCCTCCACTATTTAGGCGCTACAGCAAATGGGAGTTATGGTATTTGTGGCAGAGCCCCAAAGAAGGGGAAAGCTGGCATCTGACTTCACTAACTTTAATTTGCAGAGAAGTGTTCATTAAACTGACACTTATAAAAGCAAATATGAAGCTGCAGCCATGAGCACGTGGTCACAGGAGGAAACTAAACTGTCGAAATAAGCAGGTGGCTGCTTCCAAGTGTTCCCACTGATTCTTGCCAACTCCTTATTCATTTGTCTGTCTGCTGGCATCTTTTTGCCAACAAGTGGTCACAGGCAGAGATTCCAAAAACGTTTGTTGGAGAAAAATGGAAAATCAAAAAGCCAGTAGCCATTAATCATTAATTGGTGCTTTTTTATCTATAAATTGGGAAAAACCCATCTGAGGCGCCACCCACACATCAAAGGAGCCACCCACACATCAAAGGAGCCTGGCCTGAGACTGACTGGATGAAAGGCTGCTTAGGGGCCTTTCCCAGCCAAACCCTAAGACCCTTTTCCAGCCCCAGCTACTGTGGGAGTCACCATGCAGCTGGTCCTGGCAGCAACCTGGGGACCTGAAGCAGGGGCAGGGGCAATTGTCCCAATTTTTTTGTCCCAGCGTCAGCTGTTCCCAGCCACAGACACAAGCACAACAGAGCAGGCCAGATCTCGAAGCATGGCCAGATGGCAGCAGGGATCCACAGGGCATCACGTCTCACGAGGCAGCTGGGCAGAGGCCCTGTGTTCATGGGAGAGCAGTAGGGGCAGGCCAGGTGCCCGGTAACGGGTTTCAGAACGGGGAGAGCCAAGCAACCAGCTGTCCTGGGTGGGGGCTGCCCCTGGCAGCTGCGGAGGGACTCGTGAAAACTTGCAGTGGCCCCAACCCAGGAACACACTGTGTGCAGCCTGGATTCACGAACCACTAGAGCCCTGGGGGTGCCTGAGAGCACCTGCCTGGATAAACCCAGACAGGTGACAAGCCAAGGTCAGGAAGTACAAGCAAAAGAGCAGAGAAGCAGAGGAGACAAGTGGCCTGGCGATTTCATCCTTTCAACAAATGTCCATTGAATGACAGTCACACGTGAAACTTCAGCGATCCTTACTTTTTATTCTTTTACCAGAAGGTAATACTACTGGTGTAAAATATTAAAGAATATAAGAGTGTATCAAGTAAAAAGTAGAAGTCCCCCCTCATTTTACATCTCCAGTTCCTCTCCAGAGGTAATCATTGTTTTTGTTTATGTTTTTTGAGACAGGAGTCTCGCTCTGTCACCAGGGCTGAGTGCAGTGACTTGATCTTGCTCACTGCAACCTCTGCCTCGGGCGGTCTGTCGCCTCCTGAGTAGCTGGGACTCAGGCACACACCACCACGCCCAACTAATTGTATTTTTTTTTTTTTTTTTTTTTTTGGACAGTCTGCTGTGCCAGGCTTGAGTGCAGTGCCGACTGGCCACTGCAAGCTCCGCCCCCGGGTTTACACCATTCTCCTCTCACCTCCCGAGTAGCTGGGACTACAGGCGCCCCCACCTCGCCCGGAGGTATGTAGAGACGGGTCACCATGTTGGCCAGGCTGGTCTCAAACTCCTCCTCAGGTGATCGCCCACCTGGCCTCCAAAAGTGCTGGATGACAGGCATGAGCCACTGCTCCGGACAAGTTGTCATTGTTAACAGCTTGGTGTGTGGTCTCAACTTATGTGCATATATAGCTAATATTTAATAGATAGACACTGTCTCTAAGCAAAAACTGGACTGAGTCTCATACGTCTGCAGCGTTTTTCACTTAACACCTTATCCACATTTAATGTCAGTAGTAATGTCATTCTTTGAACAGCTAATACTATTCATAGTTTGAGTATAATGAATGAAGCTTTCTATTTCCTATTTTTACTGCTTACTTTGGCAGTGAACATCCCTTGGAACAGTAATTCATGCACACTGGTCTGAGTATTTGTGCTGAGCAGCTGATCTCCTGCAGTTTACAGCACTGGATCTGAAGTTGCATATCAAATGTTTACAGGCCGGGTGTGGTGGTTCACGCCTATAATCCAAGCACTTTGGGAAGCTGAGGCGGGGTAGATACTTGGAGGTCAGCAGTTTCAGACCAGCTTGGCCAACATGGTGAAACCCTCGTCGTCTACTAAAAATGCAAAAAATTAGCCAGGCATGGTAGTGCATGACTAAAATCTCAGCTACCTGCGGAGGCTGACGTATGAGAATCACTTGAACCTGCGTGGCGGAGGTTGCAGTGAGGCCCAGATCGCCCCACTGCACTCCAGCCTGGCAACCAGGAGGACTGTCTGAAAAAAAAAATCAAAAAACGTAAACCAACTGATCAACAGCCTCTGGAAGCCAGTCTATAGCATCCAACCACATTGCATAACTGCCTTGCAAATCAGCAGTTTTGATTTGAAAAAACAAACGAAATCTAAAAATATGCCATCCACACATTTGGAATATAAGTTTAGGGTTCAAAGGCCCCTACCCTGAAGCCCACACAGGAACTCGTAAGAAACCCTTTACAGGAAGACCCTAACAGGTCATGAAAAGCTGTGATTGCATCTTTGTTTTCAAAACGTCATCAGAACTCCTCAGGCAGGAGCTAGTGCAGTGTGGGCTGCCTGTGACTCACATGAGGAGCTTAACCCAGGAGGACAGAGACAGGAAACTGCCACGCACAGCTCTGCAGTTAGGTGAACCTGACGATTTTCTTGTGTGTCCTACAGGTGATTGCAAATAACTAACCAAAAGAAGTCTCCGGGACGGTTTCAGATTTGGAAAGGTCCCAGAAAGAAATTAATATTATAATAAAATGACAACTATGCAAATCACATCTTGATGAGAGATTTATTAGCAATCCATCCTAACATCCAGGGCCCTAAAAACCAGAAATAGGCTGGGCGCAGTGGCTTAACCCTGTAATCCCAGCACTTAGCACTTTGGGAGGCCAAGGCAGGCAGATCGCTCGAGTCCAGGAATTCAAGACAAGCTTGAGTAACATGGCATAACCCAGTCTCTACTAAAAATACAAGAAGTAAATGGGCAAGGTGGTATGCACCTATAGTCCCAGCTACTCAGGAGGCTGAGGTGGGAGGATCGCTTGAGCCCAGGAGGTAGAGACTGCAGTGAGCCAAGATCTCGTCATCGCACTCTAGCCTGGGCGACAGAGTGAGACCCTGTCTCAAAAAAAAAAAAAAAAAAAAAAAAGAATTTTGCATCTGCGTCTCCCTGCCCGACTGAGACCTCAAGGACCCAGCCCACTTTAGAACCTGACAC